CCCTGGAGGCCATCATTGAGTTTTGTGGACATGTTGGTGTTGAGAAGCAAGGTCATCAAGGCAGTGGAGAACTGGCTAGAGGAGGAATTTAAAGACACAACAAAGGGAACAATTGCGCTTCTGGCTTTGGAAGTGTTTGCAGAAGTAAAATCAGGGCCGACAACTGTTAAAATGGAAAAGGAAGAACCAAAAGCCATTCCAAACGTTATTCCAAAGACGGATGTGAAACCGACTGTGTCCACTGCCACTTCCTTTCGAAAGGAATTCAAAATTCATGGCCAAATTGAGGCCCAAAAGGGACTGTCATTTGTATCCCTAGCACGACAGATAGAAAAAGGATTAAAGAAGGGCTTTACAACAGTGGAAATAACAGATGCCGTTATCCGCGCAGTACCAGTGGGGACTGGAATGAGGTGTTACCTTGAGGGCAAGACAGATCTGACCCTAGCTTCATTACGGCAGATATTATGCGCTCACTACAAGGAAAAATCCGCTACAGAACTATATTCAGAGCTGTGTCAGCTAGCTCAAAATCAGTAAGAATCACCCAATCACTTCCTGCTACGAGCTTTAAATTTAAGACAGAAGATACTCTTTGCTTCGAAGGAAGAAAAAGCGGAAGTAAAATATGATCAACACTTAGTGGACAGAGTATTCTACCGTACTCTAGACACGGGATTGACAAATGAAGTCATCAGGCAAGAGGTGGCTGGATTCTTGGAAGGAATGCCCAACCTCGAAGAACTCATCCAGTTCATGAGGAAGGTTACCATGAAGGAAGAGGAAAGGTCCTCCAAACTTGTAAAGAGAAAAGGGTATCAGATTGCATGCATCCAAGAAAATGAGACACCAGAGTTGCAAAAGAAAAAAAAATTTAAGGAAGGAAAATTGTCATTAGAAGTCAAGGAATTAAGATCACAGATTAATGAGCTGAGAGAAGTGGTCACCAAAACATCCCAACCATCAAGTCAGAGGTCGAGAAAACCGCAGGCTCGAAAGTGCAGGGCATGTTCAGACAACAATGCCCCTACATGTAACCATTGTTGGCATTGTGGCAGCAGTGAACATTTTTCCCGAGGATGCCGCAATAGGATAAGATCCCGTCGTCAGGACTAACCAACTTCGGAAAACGGGCTCGGTTTGCTGCCACGGGACAGGCAGTAAAACCGGATGAAAAGTCCCAGAGTTCTCCATGTGTTCAAGTTCAGAGTAATAGTAGAGTGACTGGCCTTGTTTATAGACTCTCACCTCGCTTCCGGACTAAGATCACAAAAGTTGTTGGAAAAATGTGTCTCATTAACTGCAAATTGAATCACCATAAAGTGCAGGCACTCTGGGACACAGGAGCTCAAGTGTCTCTGGTCCATGAAGAGTGGTGGAGGGAAACATTCCCAGAGTACAGAGTGAGGCCATTGAAGGAACTCATTAGTGAGGACTTGACAGTACTTTCAGCTAATGGATCAAGCATTCACTTCAGTGGGTGGGTTGAATGTGCTGTGACAATTGGAAACCAAGTAATTACTACCCCGTTTTTGGTGACATCAGCTGCAGCCAAGGATTACCCCATTATTGGTTACAATGTCATTGAGGAATACATCCGTGATAGCGACTCTAACGTAGATACTGATCTCCACACAGCAATTCCTTCACTACCATCTAATGTCTCCGTCACCTTAGTACAGACCATCAAACAAAACCTGAATGGATAGAGGATTCCTGTTAAAACAAGAAACCGAATGGTGACTATTCCTGCAAGGAGCTGAAAACAAGTGCGTCTTCAAGTGAGAACCAGGAATAACAGAGATCAAACAGTTGGACATTTAGAACCGTATTTGGAAAACTTGCCTGAAGGACTCCATCTTTGCGAGTGTCTTGTCAAAATGGAGAAAGGAGTGAAACTGATGTTCTATAACGAGGCTAGTAATGAACTTTCAATCCCAAAGCGAACAGTGGTTGGAACCATCAATAGTGTTAGTTCAATCATGGAACTTGCGTTGTCACCTCATGTACCTGAAGTTAGACATCAGTTACAGGGGAGATGGGATCCACCTGTTAGTTTAGAAGGACTAGGACTTACCACACAACAAGAAGGCAAAATCCGTCAGGTGCTAAGGGAGGAATGTGACGCTTTCTCTAGGGGAGATGACGACATTGGCCATGCTACTGACTTGGAACTTACCATTCCTTTGAAAGATACTACTCCAGTACAAGCCTCATATAATTCAATCCAAAGCCCGCTTTACCAAGAAGTGAAGGACTATTTAACTGATCTTATAGACAAGCATTTCATACGCAAGTCAAATTCACCATATTCGAGTCCAATGGTATATGTGGGCAAGCGTGATGGTACCTTACGCCTGTGCATTGACTGTCGGAAGGTAAATACCAAGACAGTGAAACAGGCAGAACCTATTCCAAGAATACACTTTAAACCAGCTGTCGGGAAGTCGATGGTTTACAGTTCTGGACGAAGGAAAAGCCTATCACCAAGGGAACATGTCCGAATCAAGCAAGCCAGTAACAGCCTTTGTGACTCCATGGAGATTATATGAGTGGAATCGCATACCATTCGGTCTTACTGGGGCTCCTGGAACATTCCAGAGGAACATGAATGAGATCCTTCATGACTACCGTGATAGATTCTGTATTCCATATTTAGATGACATAATTGTCTACAGTCAAACCTTCGAACAGCATTTGGAACATCTCAGGGCAGTTTTGAGAAGACTGAAGAATAAGGGTATTAAGTTGAAACCAAAGAAGTGCGAATTATTTCGTAAATCTGTCAGATTTCTTGGTTGTTTGGTAACGGAGGAAAGTTACATGATGGATCCAAAGGACAAGGATGCCGTATTGAAATTGAAAGACAAAAGTCCAAAGACCATTGGTGAATTACGGCAACTACTTGGCTTCATTGGTTACTACCGAAAGTACATACCTAACTTCTCACGTCGTGCCAAAACACTATATGACTTGTTACAATGTTCGGGAACAAAGCAATCAAGTGGAAAACAGAAGAAGTCATCCCAGAAGGGTGGACATGCACCATCAAGTCAACATATTTCTTGGACTGGACAACACCAAGCCACTTAAATAGTCTCATCGAGACTTTGCTGGAACCAAGAGTCATGGCATATCCAAACTTTGCGGAACCATTCACCTTGCATGTTGATGCATCAGGAGAAGGCCTTGGAGCCATTCTGTACCAGAAACAAGAGAATGGGAGATTAGCTCCGATAGCCTATGCATCAAGAACATTGACCCCAGCTGAGAAGAACTACCATTCAAGTAAGCTTGAATTCTTAGCCATGAAATGGGCAGTATCAGAGAGGTTTCGTGACTACCTGTTCTATGCACCATTTTTCACTGTGTAAAGCGACAGTAATCCGTTACAGTACGTCATGACCACAGCAAAGCTTGATGTGACTCGTCTGCGATGGGGATCAGAACTTGCCGAACTCAAGTTTGAGATTCGCTATAAGCCTGGCCAGAATAACAAGGATGCAGATGGTCTCAGCCAGATGCCATTAGTCGAGGACCATATCATGGATTATACAGAGGAGCTGTCTCCTGGGACAATCCACTCCATTGTGAATTGTGCCACATACCGAGGCAATGGGGACTGGCCATTAGTTGCATCACTCACTTGTACAGCAGATGTTTTCCAGTTGATAAGGTCAGAAAAAGAGAATGTCAGGTCAATATCGCTTGATGAGCTGGTAAAGGCACAGAGAACAGACCCAGATATCAGTCCAGTAATAGACCTGATGAAGAATAAAATCAGTCTATCAGGGAAAGTAATTTCTAGTCTCCCAGAAGGGTCTAAGAGACTACTACGTGAGAAGACTAAACTGCAGATTGACTCAACTGGTGTCCTGAAGCGAGTGATTCGAGGACCAGAGAAAGAGCAAAGATTCCAGATTGTACTCCCAGAACAGTACCGTGGAATGGTGTTAGAGGAGTTACACTCTAAGATGGGATATTTGGGTACTGACAGAGTAACTGCATTTATACGTGAACGTTTCTTTTGGCCTGGTATGGCAGCAGAAATTGAACATTTCATTACCAGGGTATGTTCTTGCATTAAGGATAAACCAACTTCTCGTCGGAAGTTGGCACCACTGCAGCCCATTACAACAACCTTTCCATTTGAACTGGTTTCTATTGACTTTCTACATTTGGAGAAAAGCAAAGGGGGTTACGAGTATATACTGGTGGTAATGGACCAATTTGCCAGATTTGCTCAGGCTTATCCAACTCGCAACAAATCTGGGAAAACTGCAGCAGATAAAATATTTCAGGATTTCATCATGAGGTTTGGATTCCCTAATAAGGGTCGAGAGTGTGAAAACGAACTCGTCCATGCTCTTCAGAAATTATGTGGTATGCGACGATCCAGAACTACCCCCTACCACCCTCAAGGGAACGGCCAGGTTGAACGCTTTAATCGTACCCTCCTTGGGATGTAACGTACCTTGTCAGCCGATGCAAAAGCTGATTGGAAGTCCCACTTGAACAAAATTGTCCATGCATATAATTGCACACAGAACGATGTGACAGGATACTCACCTTTCTACTTACTATTTGGACGACAGCCTAGACTAGCCATTGATGTTATTTTTCAGGAAGCACATGGGAATCAAAGCCTGAAGGCCAAGTCACATTTAGAGTATGTTCAAAATTGGATTTCAGAAATGGAGAAGACATATAACATTGTTTGTCAGAGGGCTGGGAATGCTGGACTAAAGGGGAAACAGCAGTATGATAAGAGGGCTACCAGTGCAGCATTAGCGCCAGGAGACCGAGTTCTCGTCAGAAACTTCAAGGAGAAGGGAGGCCCAGGGAAGTTAAGATCCTACTGGGAAGATACTGTGCATGTTGTTATTGGTCGGATGAACAGCAATTCTCCTGTTTATGAAATTCAATCTGAAGACGGAAAATGACCCATTCGTCGCCTACACAGAAATCTACTTCTTCAGTGCAATGATTTACTTTCAACAATGTGTGCCAAGAAAATCAGAGAGTGCAAACAAAAACAAGAGAAGAACAGAAAGTCTAAGAAATCATCTCAAAACATTGCACAGTCAACAGCAAAACATCCACAAGACCAAATTCATCCAGTTTCAGATTCAAGTAGCAACAGTGACTACATTGTCATCAATAGTGAACTGAATCCTCATGCTAAGACATTTATCCCAAATTCACCTAGCGACGCACCACCAACATCTGGTAGGTCAACTAATGATGAAGACTCTGAACCGATAATAATGGACGTAACTGACCCAGGACATGTTACGGTACAAGACTCCGAAACATCGAGTTGATCAAGATCTTCATCTGAATTCGTCAGTGCAGAGTCAAATGGTGAAGAGGACTCTCAAGATTCACCAGAACATGCTGGGAGTATTGATGATGCAAACAGTGACAGCAGTAGTAACAGTTATGGTACACTTAGATAGAGGGGACAGCGAGTGTCAAGACCGCCATCAAGGTTGACTTACGATCACATGGGACAACCAAGCTCCTATCCCTGGACCAACGTTATTGCGTGTGGACATGAAATAATGGTTTAGAGTGATGTTCATATTGTGCATAAACAACAAGTTGAAATTGTATATGTATGGTGTTGCATAAGGGTCATTTTACCTTAAGATTATACATGAACTTGTATTTTGTATTTTGATCAGAAAGAATGTTTACTCAAGGGTTGATATTTTTCAGAATTATTTTGTTCTGTATTCATGTCAGGTGGCCAACTGATGTGTACAAATTTTAAAGAAAATCTTAGTTGTCAACTAAATGTTATCAACTACAATTTCTGATTTTGATGCTAATACATGTGGAATCATGTCAATAGATAGGATGATATGTCAGCATATATGAGCATAATTGAAGAAATGTATTTGTAGTATATGTGTGTTAGAATATGGTTCAAGTTTCCTGATGATGATCAGATGATTGATTTTAGAGTAAGAATTTTTAAGAAAGAAACTTATGAATAATCTGTAATCAAATTTTTGTTTGTTGGTATTTTTCAAATGTCGAGGCGACATTTATTTTGCAGGGAGAGAGTGTGATAGTATGAAAAATAAGGGGGTACCATTTATTTTTTTATGTATAACACTTTAGCGATGTTGCAGTACAGTCGGATTGTTGTCGACGATTCTTGGTACGACTTGAGTTTTGTATTCGAGAGTCGGGCGCCAATAAACAAACATCAACTAACTTTGTCTCCTCCTTTTTCCAGGTAATTAACAGATTATTTTATATTTTATCTGATTGATTTTGTACAAGGTTACATGTTAGATACTTTGCTATTTTATCTGATTGATTTTGTACAAGGTTACATGTTAGATACTTTGCTAATTTTGTACATGTTTATTTAGATGCATTTGAAGTTAGTTGTGCAGATTTTGTTATCGAAGCGATCAGTGCAAATCCATGTGCTTTAAGATCACGTGATGAATAGTTAATAGTGAAGTAGCCAAAATTCATACAGTTATGCCTATTTATGTTTTAGTTCATGATTTATAAAACACATGTAGAAAATGATATTCATAGCATAATATTCAGTTGAGTCAGGTAGTAGTTGATGTCAAAGCAACATTTATGATTCCCGCATTTTCTACATCCGGGCATTTCCAATATGGCTGCGCCCATACAGATTTTATTTTTTACATTTCCATTAGTATAACTATATGTTAATGTGAAAGTCTAATTGGCTATTGTATGATGTCTGATTGTTATTTGAGAGTTGTGTTTATTAGTGTAGCATATCACTATTAATAGTATTTCAGTCTAAATTCATTATTAAGTTTAAGGTAGCTACTTTGTGGTTGTGATACTTTGTGTCACAAAATGTCAATATTATTATGTCAGTCATATTACTTCAATCAATCTAGTCTCATTAGTTTAAGTCTCAGGATAACCAGGATTAATTCACAGATCTCGTCATTTTATTTACATTGCCATTACAAGTTACTGTTGAAGTTCTACATACAAGTATCAGTATTGTTCCTTGATTATATGAATGCATTAGTTTCTAGTCATACATGTTACTGTGTTCAAGAATGTGTATTTTGTTATTGTACAGTGGTACGACTTAATTTTTGTATTCGAGAGTCGGCGCCAATAAACAAACAGCAGCTAACTTTGTCTCCTCCTTTTTCCAGACTCCCTCCATTTGAAACCGGTTACATACACTACTGGACTTAAAATTCCCTGATATTCTGAAAAATCTCTGATGAAACTCTGATATCCACTGTTTAAGTACTGCTTTTCTCTGTATAAACACTGTACAGTCACTGTACAAAATCCCTGTACCTACTGTAATCCCCAGTAAATCACAGTACAAACCCACTGTTATTTTCTATACATCCCTGTACTTTACTGTACGTCCCCTCTGTACGACCCGGTACACCACTGTCTGTCCTTGTACGCCTCCACAGTACAGTACTGTACATCACAGACGTGTACAGTACTCAACTTCTGTACAGCACTGTTGCTCACTGTACGCGTCCCAGACTGGCACTGTACATCACTGAAGTTCAATGTACGCATCCCAGTTTGGCACTGTACATCACTGAACCATACTGCGAATATTTTAGACTTATTAAATGAATGAAATTTAACTTTCGAATTTCCTAAATTTTATTCTTCTCTTGTTACTTCTCTTATTGTTCAGAAGCCTTTGGTATTTTAGATTTAAGCGAATAAAATATTTATTTCAAGAGTGATAAATTTGTGCTGTTAGTACTCTTAGCACACACTAGTACCATATATAAAAAGGTAAAAAATAAATCCTATAAATTATATTTAAGATCATTTAATTGATAATTATGATTCCTCTAGTCTTAAAGTTTTGAATTTACTGAGCAATTAAATTATATATAATAATTATCATTCATAGTGTTGAACAATTTTAATGTCACATTGTTATTTTCCATAGTTCGATAATGCGGTTAACAACCTGATTTGGTAGGCAAAGTTACATTAGTATATTATATATTTTTTAAATATTTTTTCTCAAAAAATTAAGTCTCTCTTTCTCTCACTCATACATTTACCCTGTCACTATAATTATTTTTTTAACACGGCCTGTGATAAAAAAAAAAACCCCAACTAATTATTGTTTGAATTGAATTTGTCAATGCAAATAAAATATCAAAAAATGAAAAGAATGATTCAGTGGGTAGGGTGGCTTATCTTGGTTGTGGGTTAACGTGTACACTCAACAGAAAATGTATATCAAACAGGAAAACGGTGGATTAAACAGCGGACAGTAGCCAGAGATTTAAACAATAGGTGTCAAGACTGAGTGTCCTGATATATCAACAAGGGGAGGTTACACAACGACAGGAAGCAATATATTTATAATTTCTTGAGAGCTTCAAATTACTTAAGATATTTTTGAATTAATAGAAACGCAAATAGATTGTACGTATTGAGACGTTTATTTTGATATCCATAATCAAATAATTAGATATCAAAAAAAAAAACTTCAGAATATTTTCATTATTTTAATTATTTATGATAAATCATATTTTTATTTATTTATTTTTTTTTTATTTATCATTTGGATTGTATTTTTTCCTCTTTCTCTAAGTCTTCAAATATAATAGCAAACAAACAACAAAGGGAGTTATTTGAAAATTTAATATTGATAATAATTATTATAGTTATAATAAATTAGGACGAAAAAAGTAACATGCAGCTGATGTGTTATTTGCTGTGTAAATAGTAGACTGAGTGCACTTCAGATAAAAGTATACAGAACCTCTCTGTAAAAGAGAGAGAGAGCCAATTTAATTGCAAGAGTAATAATCAATCAGTGTTAAATAAGTTTGTGTTTCCAAACTTTAAGTTGTGTTTCATATACAATATACACTTTGAATACCCTTAGAGTATTACATTGGAAGGCCTAATTTCACTAACAATGTTATTATACTTATACGGAAAGTAGACCTGTACATGTAGCTCCGTTGGACAGAGAAATCAGATAGACAGCCCTGGATCTGCCGGGGTCAAACAAATAATTTTTTTTTTTCAATTTGAGGGACACCGTGCTGTTCGAATTCCTTAGCGAGCCAAAAAAAAAAAGAAAGCCCCCCCCCCTCTTCCCACTGGTTCCATTAAGCTTGATATTTATAATTAAATTTTAAAAGAAAGATTGATTAATAAATAATTGAATGAATTAATTTATGATTTCCTGCAAATGCCGTGAAATGTGAAATTTATTCAGGATATTTTGCTGTATTGCTATTTATTCCATTTTTTAAAGGTTGAATTCGCATATTTTTTTAAAATATATTCTTTAATTAGTTATTTTTAGTTGCTTCAAACACATTTTTAGCACTTTGAGTCTGTAAATATACATTTAAGGCCATTGCTATTAGTTGATCATTGTCAATTTCATGACCAAATGGAGAGGAAAAATATAATTATCCAAGATTAATTTGAAAAGCTGACATACTATATTTAGTATAATTTTTCTTGGGTTATTGTAAGTCGAAAAATGCAAACCACAGATCAAGTGTTGGATGAATTTTTGTTTGTTTCTTTTCCCATAATTTGAGTTGAGAATAACTAAATAAAATTAATTTTTGAAATTTTATAATTACTACATTTAGTGAATTTTTAAAAGTTAAATGTCCCCATCGACATCCCAGTTCAATGGTGAAAAAAGGAGAGAGGAGGAGAGAAATATGACTAAAAAACGTGAAGATTCAATGACATCTTCCAGACAACTCGAACAAGCCATCAATGATTTCGGAATGAAAAAAACATTTTGATCATTGAGGATTCAACGTATGATGTTAAACCCACATGTGCAGTTATAATGAAAGTTTAGAGACCTGGCTATCTTAGAAAAACCATATAGTTATTTATTTGTTTAAAAAAAAATAGCTAGCAATTACCGGGAGGTGTGAAAAAAAATTAGTCGCCCATTTTCATTCGTGCGTTAAGCCCAGCGAGGTTAAGAAGATAACAAATAATAAAAAAAAAATACGTAACGTTAAGTGCATGTGCCATTTTGTTATTGATTTAATTGGAAAAATAAAATAGATGGACGGGGAAGTATAATGAACAAGTGTCTAATTACTAACTAAGGCGAAAACATTTCAGATCTCAAAACTTTGACACACGGACAATCATGTATTTTTTTTTTACTGTGTGTGTGAGCGACTGACCTCTCAATAGATACGGGATCATTATTTTTAATTTATAATTTCTCGCCTGATTTAACAGCAAAATATTAATTGTAGTCGTATTAATGTGCTCACATTTTGTATGCTAATCTAAATATGGTGAATTAAATAGTGTATACTATATTTCATACTAAAATGTATGATTCGTAACATTGTATATTTTCTTTTTTTAACATGATAAAACGTTCTTAATTATTTCAATTATTACGGTTATTAATAGTTTTAATTTCATAAAGG